CTAGCATATACTAAAAAATATCACATATTTTTCTGATTTTGTTTACTGCAGTGGATGATATATTAATAATTAATTTTAATAGTTTTTACCTGAGAAGACTATATTTTTCTACTCTTTTCGGAATTGGAACCCGCGGCACTCGACACCGCAACTTATTGCTAAGCCACTACGCTAGTGAACCGTAAATTTACATTCAACCTACGGTATGGAATGTTAATATCAATTTTAACAAAAATTTTAACAGTGGTAGAGCCACGCGGCAGCTTTTGCTGTCGCACGGATGGGCCGGCTCGAACCGAGGTGGAACCACGACCTCACAGAATACCAGCGTGAGGTAGAGGTTTACCTCTGCGTTTCGATTGGTGAGTGCAGGTGGCCGGAGGCCCTTTTTACTGGAAATGAGGCATTCCATCTTAGTCCTCACGGGTGACAACGCATCTACATTTTGATTTGTAATAGAGGATAGATGTAGATGTCTATGGGCCGCAGCAACCACTTATCATCGGGTGGACTGTGTGCTCGTTTGTCACCCTTATCTTATAAAAAAAAAAAAACAAGTGTAAAATGCATGCAATACGATCAAAATATACAATGCGAATAGTTAGTCTTCTCATTGTAAATTATTATCTTTCATGCATTTTTTCAAACGGTGTACGTGTTGCTAATGATGATTTATGGATCTGAGACGTGGTCCTTCACTGCTGGCCGTATGAAGACGCTCAAGGTCGCTCAGCGAGCTATGGAGAGGGCCATGCTCGGAGTTTCTCTGCGTCATAAACTTAGAAATGAGGATATCCGCAGTAGAACCAGAGTGACCGACATAGCCCAACGGTTTAGTAAGCTGAAGTGGCAATGGGCCGGCCATATAGCTCGAAGAACCGATAACCGATGGGGAAGAAAGGTTCTCGAGTGGCAGCCTCGTACAGTAGGCGTAGTGTAGGGCGACCCCCCACTAGGTGGAGTGATGACCTGGTAAGACATGCAGGAAGTCGATGGATGCAAGTGGTTCAGGACCGTGCTTTGTGGCAATCCTTGAGAGAGGCCTATGTTCAGCAGTGTACTTGTGAAGGGCTGTAATGATGATGATGGTGATGTATTTTTTCTTTTTCTACCGACTTCAAACAGTAGGAGGTACTCAATTCGACTGTAAGTATTTTTTTGTATGTTACCTCATAACTTTTTTCTGTGTGGACCGATGTCAATGATTCTTTTTTTATTTGAAAGCTGGTGCTTCACATGTGGTTCCATATAAAATTGATCAAGGTCTGACCAATAGTTTTTGAGTTATGCTTAATAATTTATATTGAAGTCGGCTGTACAAAATGTTTAATTTTAAATTATTATTTATTTATACAACACTGCTTCGTTCCGGTCTGAAAGATGTAGAGAGCCAGTATAATTGTGCAGGCTGTGATCTGTTAATCATTCTATCTCAGTCCTCGGTACTGACAACGCATCTCTGGCCTTATTATTGCCCGGCCATCTTCCTCATTTGAAGTTGATCGTACGTGTCCACGACTGCAGTAGTCATTTGGTGTATTGTAAGTTCGTATTTCACTTTAATTTTATTTAAAAGTTTATAGAGCTATAATTTAAACACGCGTCGTTTTCTTTTACGAGCCGTTTTGCAGTAAATTATGAGCATGAAAACCCTTTTTTTTTGTAACATTTCTTTTAATAGAATAGAATAGAATAATTTTTATTCAATATTGATTATTACATAATGCTTATTGAAAGTCATTTTTATTTACCACTGGTTCGGAACATACCTCTGTCCTGGGAAGAACCAGCAAGAAACCCAGCGGGACTTTTTTTTTCAACATAATTTCACTTAACATTAATTTCTTTTATACAATTTTTAAATGATTTTTCATAAAACCAGCATGGTGGCGATCACCTTATTCCAAGGGGTTATTTTCATTCATGTATTCCTTGATATTATAATAAACCTTTTTGTATGGTTTTTCTTTAATAAAACTTTTAAACTTGTTTATTGACAAACTTTGAACATGTTCTGGGATTCTGTTGTAAAAGCGTATACATTGCCCCATAAATGAATTACTAATTCTGTGGAGTCTAGTAACTGGCATTACAAGCTTATGTTTGTTCCTAGTGTTTAAAGTATGCACATCCTTATTCTTATTAAAGCTATTTATATTTTTATGTACATACATTACATTTTCATTAATTTTAATTTTATGTCATCCTAATTTGCTTACTAAATAATTTGTGATACAAGAAACTGTTTTTTTTTTAAATAACGTTACCCCCACACTAGGATTTTCTCCTATGTCGTGGAGGCAGTTTACAAACATAAATTGCACGAGGACAAACATCCAGACCCGGAACAATTATTTGTAGGCCATACAAATACTTGTTCCGTGCGGGATTCAAACCCGCGGCCACCAGCGCAGCAACTCATTGCTAAGCCACTGCGCCACGGAGCCGTCAATAATAAATTACTAAATAAGTTAATAAATACACCTAGTACGTAAAACCTTTAAAATAGGCATCGGACATTAATAATTGGTGTTGCAGTTGTTCATGGGCGGCGGTAGTCACTTACCATCAGGTGAGCTGTATGCTCGTTTGACCCCTCTCATAAAAAATATCTATATACATATTATGTATATATTAATACCCGATTCTTATTTTACTTACTTTTTATTTTATTTATTGTACATTCTTCATTACATTATATTATTATTATTTTGACTGTCTCGTTGGTCTAGTTTACAGTTAGTTAGTCGCGTTTACAGCCACTAGACTAGTGGCTGTAAACGCGACTGCTGATCATGAGGTTCCGGGTTCGAGTCCCGGGTAGGACCAAAAAATCAGTTATTGAGTTTTTCCTTTAAGAAGCTCTCAGTAACTGCCCGTACCCAGGAAGTTGGTGGTGCCTCACCCCCGTGCCTCGTTAAGCACGTACAGCCGTTGGTCCTGCGCCTGATCTTTCCTGCGTGTCGGCTTACCGTCCCATCGGATTATGAGAGTGAGGGAATAGATAGTGCACCTGTGCTTGCGCATACACTTGGGCACTGTAATTCTAAAGTTCTGCGCTGATGGCTGGCCGCCATGACCGAAATTCGGTCTGGAGGACATAGTTATTATTATTTCAGACTATTATTTACATTACACTACTCTATGCTACGTCGGGAACGTAACATAGAGTAGTTAGAGTAGAGTATACTTACATAATGTACTCTGTGATCATAGACTTAGTCTTTATGTGGGTCTGTGACGATTATTATTAGCACATACTTTCCTTCCAAAATCGCGTGCAAGAATTATAAGAATCACCTCTACTCTATGAAAGGCACACAATCGTCGATAGCAAGACACATCTTCCTCCTCTAAACGTGGAATAGATTGCGATAACTAACCATCAAAAATCATGACCAGCGGTTAGGCAAAAGGATCGATTACCATTACAGCCCAAAAAGTCCACTGAACATAGATTACTTTATAGGAGGATGTTTGCCATAGTTGCTATGCTTGGTAGGCGGGTTGGGAATCTCATCAGTTGTCAGGAAGGTACTGATGAACATCTCCTGTTTCGGTTTCCCTCTGTCGCCTCTTACGACACCCACGGGACGATATGGGGTAGTGGATATTCTTACACCGCCACTACACGGTCATGTAGAAGATGATCAAGATGATGATTGATATGGAAAACGTATGAATCAGGGATGTTACGGAAGTGGTTATATCGGAACCGAATTCGGAAGCGGAGTTTTCAAATTTTGTTTGTCGGAACCGGAATCGGAGGTGGAGGCAGAAGAGATGTGTTAAGGGCAGGTCTATTGCACTGCATTTATCTTTTGTTTCAAATTTTTTGAATTCTTCGAATTCAGTGGCATGCACAAACCTTTTAATGACTTTTTAAAGAAGTATTTGTACCTCCCTTTCGTGAATATATCTTCTCACATAGTTTACACTTTGTCGTATTCTCAGAAATTTCATTGAAATAATTCCAAATGGCATATGATTTTGGCTTCATTGTCCAATTCAAATAAATTTGTTACACGTCAAATAAAACACTACTAAACCTAATCAAAAACTCTGATAAGTAGTTCAAGTTAAAGAGTAATCGACAGAAGGCACGGGGGGAGGGAGGTTCCCGGGGCGACAAGTATAAAATTGTTTGTACACGCTGATCGCGGCCGCCGGCACCACTATGCATTGACCTCCGATATATAAGTTCCGATTAAAATTTAACGGAACCGAAATCGGAATCGAAGGTGCAAAATCATTTGGAAGTTCCGAACTTTTGGAATCGGAATCGAACCTCCGTAACATCTCTAGTATGAACGAGTACGTGTTAGAGCCATGCTGCAGCTATACTATATTTGTATCACGAAGGGCTGTTGGGCATTTTTTCGGAATAAACTGCAATAAACAACCACCAAAAATTATAACTATATCCTTTACGCAAAAGGATACATTTGATTTATACTCGCGAATCTTAACCAGTTAATTTTGTTATATTTAATTCCGAACTTCCTCATAGTAACGCCAATCCATATATCTTGTGTGTTTATGAATATAATTTTCACTCCTTGGGTTCATCATCATCATCACTACCTTCACAAGTCCACTCCTGAACATAGGCCTCCCCCAAGGAAAGCCACAAAGCATGGTTCCGAGCCACCTGCATCCATTGACTTCCTACACGTCGTACCAGGTCGTCACTCCATCTAGTGGGGGGACGCCCTACACTTCGTCTGCTGGTACGAGGCTGCCACTCGAGAACCTTTCTTCCCCATCGGTTGTCGGTTCTTCGAGCTATATGGCCAACAAATTTCCACTTCAGCTTACTAACACTAGGGTTGACCGATAGAAAATGCTTTTAGGCATTAAGTCCGCCCTTGTATCCTTTCTTTTCTAAGTAATGCAATAAATTTTTTAAAATAAAATAAAATAATTTTCGTTTTGGATATATGTTTTAACTTTGAAATATATTTTGCTTCTGAACTAAAAGAATGTTTCTCGCGTTACAGCGGACTCTGACGCACAAAGACGTACTTTAATTAAACGGAAGATCAGCAAGTATCTGTCATACGCCGAGTCAATATATAAAAACCATCTGGGCGACGCTGATGAGAACGTAAGTTGATAGTTAAATAGACTTTTTTTTTAACTTCTAGTTCTAGTGTAACAAACAAACTCGTAATCCAGATGATAGAGCTATATTATGGTTGTAGCACGAATAGGTCGCTTCTAAAGGAGAAGGATGACGCTCTAACAGAATACCAGTGTGAAATAGCTTGATGCTGCTGTGTTTCATACGGTGAGGTGGTTTTTACTGGAAATGAGGCATTCCATCTTAGTCTTCAGGAGTGACAACGCATTTTGAACATTAACTGATAATAGATGTAGATGTCTATGGGTCACAATATACACATACCATCAGGTGAACTGTGTGCTGGATTTTCACTATTAATCAATAAATTATGTACAATAGTAATGTCATTTGATTTGCGTCGCACGACCGGGATTGAAGGAAACTTCGGATTCAGTGCTAGTTAAACTTAAAAAAAAACCGTATAGTCATAATAAATAATATTATTATTAAGATGTAAGCAATACATCTCAAGAATATAAGTATATATTTATTGAGATATAGTAAACAGTTTATACTTATGTAATGTATGTAACAACTGTGTTAAATTAGCCTATAAAAGTCTACTGCTGAACATAGGCCTCCCCCATAGATCGCCCCATAGAGTGGATTTTGCCATAGTTGCCACGCTTGGCAGGCCGGCTGGCAACCGCATTTTTTATTAAGCTGTTATCAGAAAAATGCTGCTGCCCATCCCTGTTTCAGTGTCCCTATGTCGCTATCTATATATATAAAAGCAGCAAGTGTTGTAATATTTTGAAATCTTAATTAAATGGGCCATTTCTTGAAACAACAGGCCTATGGTAATATCGTACTTTTTTTTTAAAGACAAGGCGTCAAAATTATGTGTTCAAATTTTTTTAACCATGGCTTAATAAAAAATTTTTTTTGTACTAGACTCCCAATATTAATTATTGGATTTGTGACTGCAATCAATAGCATAGTTATTTAGGATTACATTGAAAAAAAAACACTGAAAGATTTAGAAATTTGTGATCACAGTACCTAAATATGTTGTATCTAGGATGTTGATTTTCAACATTTTCAAAAGTATATTATTATATACTTTTATTATGGGGTAGTAGATATTCTTACACCGCCACTGTACTATCACCACGTTACATATTAGTAAGTACACTTAAACCATTTTGTACGTACATTAGTTACTATCGGAGCCCGAGGAGGTGGAGTCCCTTGCACTGTGTCCGCCTCCCATATCGATGCTGCGGAGACCGTACGAGGATCTGTCACTGTACCGAGTGTTGGACGTGCTGGGATCTAGTGTGATGCTGGTTCTGCACCGTACTGAGCAGACATGCTACGCTATGAAGGTAGGAGGCTCTGTATTACGTTCTATATGTAAAGTTTAAAATTAGTGAATAAATAAATAAATATTTTTTAATAATTACATTATATGTTATGTACCCAGTGATTAATTAATAGGGCATTATTCATAACTAGTAATATCAGCAATAGAAGCGAACATTTATTACATCAATAAAGGATAAAGTGATCTGAATTCTCTTAAAAGGTTTGTTTCTGTTAAAATATTACGCTATCAGCGCCGCTAGCGGTGAAAAACGATTTAATTATATCCTCATATGACCATATTATGAAATAGCAACGTTGTGTTTAGTTATTAATATCTTCAAACGATTTCTATTCATTGATTTGGTCAAGCTATATCATGACGCCTGCAACTTTACAAGGCGCAGGCTCGGCCCCACATGGAATACTGTTCCCATCTCTGGGCGGGGGCTCCCCAGTGCCAGCTCCTTCCACTTGACCGCATCCAGCGCAGAGCGGCTCGAATCGTCGATGACCGAGTCCTTTCTGATCGGCTCGATTCATTGGCGCTGCGAAGAGATGTTGTATCTCTTTGCATTTTCTTTCGCATTTTCCACGGGGAGTGCTCTGAGGAATTGTTGGGATTAATCCCAGCCGCCAAATTACACGAATGCACATCGCGGCAGAACTCCCGATACCATCCACACCATCTGGATGATTGGCGGTCCACAACTTTGCGATTTAGAAGAAGTTTTCTTCCTCTTACAACTTCCTTGTGGAATAGTTTACCACCAGCGATTTTTCCGGACCGATACGACTATGGACCTTCAAGAAAAGAGCCTACTGCTTTTTAAAAAGCCGCCAACGCATCTGCATTTCCCCTGGTTCCCCTGGGGTTGCGGTTGTTTATGGGCGGCGCTAATCACTTACCATCAGGTGAGCCGCATACTCGTTTATCCTATAAAAAAAATGACATGGACAACAAATAGTGTTAAATATCATGAAATGACCACACCATTTCACGAACTGATAGACTACTTTATGATATATGATCAATTCTATGATCTGGCCACGACATATATAAAAATCTCTTCAATAAAACTATAATTTTGCAATTACAAACAAACCAGTTTTAATCACTTTACATATTTATATTAGTAACTGAAATAAATACCTTATCAATTTTCATATTTTTGATAGACGTCACTATTATCTATTGAAATTATTACACTTTTAAAATAAAATAACAAAAATCATTAAATCATAAAAATGTAAGATATATTATATTATTTCATTTATTAGTAACTGAAGGCAAAATATACTATTTTTTCCATTTGATAATAGATGGCGCTGTTTTGAAAACCAAATCCGTGTAATTTCAAATTAATTTACCAAGATTATTACTATACAGGGTATTTTTGGAACGCTCCCGAAAACTAAGACAGGCGACAACACCAAGTACACCTTTGATCATGGGTCACAAATAAATTCGATCCTGATGAAAAAAAAATCAACTTTTTACAACGTTTTATTAGCTTTATTCACGCGCCATCATGTTAGTACAGCTAAATGAAACGATAATTTCATAAAATATATCATGAAAATACTGAAACATAAAACCAGCAGTGGAATGACTGAATTTATATCACCTGACTGAAAGGTCAATGTACGCGCGAACGCAAATTCGCGCGGCCCGCAACTAGCGGGCCAAACCACAATATCTAATAATTTACAACACTTGTCTAAATACCTTACTTATCTACTTAACCTACTATTTTGCCACTGTGCTTGTCTCCACTTAGCCACTTTAATCCGAATTTACAGGTTAAATAACCCAAATAACTGGTTCGATTCCCCGCTAATGAAAAAATACTTAAATGAAATGTAACCAAAGTTGGAGTCATGAGTTTTTATTCATCGTGTATGTTTATTATTCTCATGTATTCAGTTATGTACCTATTCAGATTAGTCTAGTACTAAGTTATTTAAAAAAAAATAGGTATGAAACAGCTTACCGCTCTAAATCCTCCGTGGTCTTATGAGATGCGGCTCAAATTGTGCTCCATTCATTTCAAGGTAGATTTGGGTGCAGGCGGGGCATCATCGTGTGGTCTTCGACACAGTCCGTACGTAGTTTCTCGAAACCATCCACGATCCTTTGGCGCATTTCTTCAGCACTATCACATTCACGATTAAAAACCCTTTCTTTCACATACCCCACAAAAAGAAGTCTAACGGAGTCAGATCTGGTGAGCGAGGTGGCCAAGCGTGTGGTCCTAGTCTGCCGATCCAGCGATCATCAAATAACTCATTGAGGCGCTCACGGACGAACCTCATGAAATGTGGAGGGGCACCATCATGTTGGAACCATGTGCGGCGATATTCAGCCAACGATAGGTCGTTTAAAATGTCAACCAACTGTTCATTTATAAAGTTTAGGTATCGCTGTCCGTTCAGTCGCTCTGTCAGAAACACTGGTCCCAGTATGCGATCCTTAAATAAACCTGCCCATACGTTAACCGACCATCGGGTTTGGTGCCCGGTTTGTCGAACAGCGTGCGGGTTAACCTCTGAATACACGTGTGTATTTCTTCGGTTCCACAGGCCGTTTCTGGTAAATGTCGACTCATCCGTCCAGATAATGTGCTCAATGGAACCAGGCACACGTTGTTGCTGGTATAATAACCAACGGCAGAAAACTCGTCGGCGGTCGTGATCGCCGGGAACTAAAGCTTGCACTTTGTGCAATTTGTATGGGCGCATTGGTTACGCTTCAACACTTTGTGCACTGTACAGTATGACACACTTGTACGATCCCGACGTCTTAACAATTTATTTAGCGATACTTCGTGTACCTAGGTTCGGATACCTAACATGTTGACCACTATAAACGTACGCGTTAGGCATTATTAAAACAAAAAAGAATCCAAAAACGTAACAAAAACTTTAATATCAACACGTAATCACAAGTAAATTTATTAAACAAAACGATTGAACTGTCGCTCGCGCACGCGTGTACAAAATCAACACGGAACTGTTTCAAAAACTACAATTAATAACGAACCCCGACGAATAAACGGAAACCTACTGCGTCACAGCGTGACGACACGAGCCGGCCGGGTTACATTCTGCGAGGCGACATGAGCCGGCCGGGTTACATTCTGCCGTCATACGAAATAAAGAAGTACGCAACTAACAAAAACGTAAAATGGAAATAAAAAATAAATTTATGAATTTTTCTTTCAGACCCCGTGTCTAAAGTATATTAAAAGGTATCTATATGAAAATTGAAATATGTACGTAGAGACATGAAGATTTTAAGGACGAACTTATTTTTTGATAATTTGTTTATTTATTTAAATAAAACGAATTTTCCTTTTCATCTTAGATTAAAAAATACACCTGGCAACACAAAAACATCGAAGGAAAGACGCATATAACTATTTGCGTATTCCCAACCTAATAAATAAAAAAAAACTGCCATTCATTTAACATTTTTACATATTTTGGAAAGGTCATTTGAAGTTGAAAGGACGCTAATAGTAATTTACTACTTTTTTCTTAGTAAATATTAGAAAAGCATTGGTAGTCAGACACAAAAAATAACAACCCGCAACTCTTGAGTAATGATTTTAAAGGGGATATCATACAAGACTTACTACGATAATAATTAAAAATTTTGTACAACCGACTTTAATATAAATAATTAAGGATGACTCAAAAACTATTGGTCTGACCTCGATCAAATTTATATGGGACCACATGTGAAACACCAGCTCTTAGTAATAAGATATAAGCTCTTAATAATAAGATATAGAATAAAAAGACAAGAATAATTGAAATTTAAGTAATCGATGCAAATATTGTTAAAGATGACGTAGCCACTGGTTAAATAAGTCTTTTCTATTATGTTGAAGTCTTTTCTAATAAAAAGATGTCATCTGTGATCAACAGTTACGTCTAAAATTCTTACGATAATTTCTAAAATATTGATATTTGTGAATATTAAAAAAATTTAGTAGATGCGCCTTCTTATCATGAGTCATGGTATATTTAACTCATTTATTCAAAAATTGTTATATGCGCCCTTTTTTCTTCCGACCGCATACCATTGTTTCGTACCGAGCTAGATACAGGTCGACAGCGGAGGAAGTGTGGGTACAGTCGCGTTCTAAAGTACTACATGGTATTGGGCTATTGTTTTATAATATTATAGTAATTAATTGTTTAATTGTGGAATCATAATAGGTGTTTTACTATTTACTTAGAACTTTGGAAGAGGTGGGAATTAAAAATGGATAATGTTTACTTGAGCATTATTTGTTATTTCTATCGTAAAATATAAAGTAGTTTGTAACAAAAAAAACTTAAGTTAAGGGTGACACGCCGTCCATTATGACGTCTTGGGTCACATGAAAGTCAGATGTTGATGGTGTGTTGGTATTACTGGATGCTACTTCATCATCACTTTCATCTTCGCTTGAGCTTCCGTCATCAGGTCGATCACATGGTAATTTTTTCGGTATTCTCCCTCAACACTTTACTGCACAATTTTCCCCATTCACCTTCTCCTATCATATTTACCTTTTCGTTCACTAGTTTAGTCATAAAACAATAGATATAAATAATTTTTGTTTCCTTCCTTTTTAAAACATCGTCGCGAGTCGCAAAGTAAGCTGTGTATGCGACTGTATTTTTGGAGCGAACAAAGCGCGTGAACCAATAGCATGCAGGCACAGTAATACGGGCGGATTGATCCCCCGTCGCACCCCCCTCGTACCTATATGTGATAAATCGCTCAATGCCCAAGTTCAAGGCCAGCGTTCTTTTTTCACCGTTCGCGCGTACATTAACCTCCATTAGTCAGGTGATATCAATTCAGTTTCCACTGCTGGTTTTATGTTTCAGTATTTTCATGATTTTTTTTATGAAATTATCGATTCATTTAGCTGTACTAACATGATGGCGCGTGAATAAAGCTAATAAAACGTTGTAAAAATATGATTTTTTTTTCATCAGGATCAAATTTATTTGTGACCCATGATCAAAGGTATACTTGGTGCTGTCGCCTGTCTTAGTTTTCGGGAGCGTTCCAAAAATACCCTGTATATTAAATTTTATTTACAAATATGGTATTTATTTGAAAAACATCCGTCATCCGCCTTTAACTAAGATATAATAGAATATTAATATCTAAAGAAAATAATTACTTAACCTTCCTTTTTGAAGTTCCGTAATCGGATAAAAAGTAGCCTATAAGTTGCCCCGGGTTACTCACTACCTACATACAAAATTTAATGTAAAACGGTTCAGTAGTTTTTGCGTGAATCCGGAATACACAGACAGACAGACAAAAATTCTAAAAACCCCTAATTTGGATTCAGAACCCTTTATTTAGTCCCCTGGACTTGTTTTTTCAAGAATATATTAGAATTACAGACAAGACTTTTCTACAGATTTATTATATGTATAGATGACCCGACAGTTTGAAAAATACCCAATATGAGTAGGCAATATGATAAAAACTATTGAAATTATTAAATTGACCGGGCTTTAACAGAGTAATACAATCCGATGCTCTATACGTGTTAGAGCCATGCTGCATTATACTATGGTTGTAGCACGAATGGGTCAACTCGAACGGGGAAGGACCACGCTCTAACAGAATACCAGCGTGAAATAGCAGCTTAATGCTGCTGTGTTTTATATGGTGAGTGTAGAGAACCGGAGAATCTTTTTACTGGAAACGAGGCATTCCATCTTAGTCCTCACGGCTGGCAACGCGTCTGCATTTTGATCCGTAATCAAGGATAGATGTAGATGTCTATGGGCCATATAGGGTAAGGGCGACAAACGAGCACGCAGTCCACCTGATGGTAAGTGGTTGCTGTGGCCAATAGACATCTACATTTATCCTCGATTACGGATCAAAATGCATATGTGTTGTCACCCGTGAGGACTAAGATGGAATGCCTCGTTTCCAGTAAAAAGGGTCTCCGGTTCTCACCATACGAAACACAGCAGCATTAAGCTGCTATTTCACGCTGGTATTCTGTTAGAGGATGGTCCTTCCCCGGTCGAGCCGACCCATAATATAGCTGCAGCATGGCTCTAATACGTAGAAAACTCGAGAATGTAACTGGAGGAGCTGTAACCAACCAATATGGCCAATGATGTTAAATATGTTTTTGATATTATTGTTACTAGATTGGGGTTCGAGACAATGAAAAACTGCCGACTGAATTACCAAAATTGACACTTTAATTACAGAACACTAATTACAACTTAAAATCACGCTAATAACAAAACACAATTATACTACTGAACAGTTTAGTTCGCAGTTGTATCACTTCGAAGTATTCGCTTGTATCGCCAATTCAATACTGACCGGGTTGCGGTCTATACCGGCCTTATATAGGGCCTCAGATAATTTCCAGAACCTTCTACTGTAGAAACATCGAGAATGTTCGAGTACATACCGGTCCCGACTAAGTGTCGATAGTTCTAGAAAGTTTTTCCATGGAAATATCTAGAAGGATCTTGACTCTCCTAGTTCTGCTACTCATTACTAGAGGGCGCTAGTGGTAACTAATGTTACCATGCACCCGGCATTAATGGTTGCGCATTAAACATTATGATAGTAAGTGGTTGCTGTGACCCATAGACATCTACATCTATCCTCAATAAAGAATCAAAATGCAGATGCGTTGTCACCCGTGAGGACTAAGATGTAATGCTTTTTTTTCCAGTAAGAAGGGTCTCCGGTTCTCTACACTCACCATACGAAACACATCTGTGTTCAGCTGCTATTTTACAATACTCCCTATTGCTTTTGATTTAAATTACATTTTATTCTGACACATGTTTGAATAAAATATATATAGCGGATGTACGCAAAGTAACGCCTGATTCTACTAATAATTTAGCATTTGCGGCCAGTCTCTGGCCATCTGTGCAGGCTAGCATTATTGTGCCCGAGTGTATGCGCAAGCACAGGTGCTTCTCTCTATTCCCTCACTCTCATAGTTCGATGGGACGGTAAACCGACACGACCGGAGGGAGATCAGACGCAGAAACAAACGCCTTGATTGACTCCTGGCTGCTACTGTTTCTTGACAGCAAAAACCCAATAACTGATATTTACTCTACCCTGGATTCGAACCCGGACCGTCGTCACTAGGCACCCACGAGGCAGTCAATTGGTATTATATTTTGTTTTTATTTATAGGTCGTACGAAAAATTCCTCACAACTTAACAGAATTCGACGAATATTTTCTACAAAGGACAAACGAAACCCGCCAACCTATTCTACCCACATTAATACCGTACATGGTGCCACTACACGCGTACATAGAGACAAGCAATTTAATATTTCTAATATTATCTTATGCACCCGGAAAGAAGCTTTTTGACTACATCAAAGACTACACCAAATCCCTACCAACTACGCCGAATAGAGAAGTGAACCTAGAGAACGTTTTCACAGAACCATCAAAACAGAAGAAAAGCGATATAGCGAATGATAACATCGATGAAGTAGATTCGATATCAAAAATAGATTCTAGCATCGGTAATATACAAGATGTCAATGAAAACATAGAAGTGAAGACTGATCGTTTAGATAATGCAGAGCTATCTGTAAATGAGCTGGTGATCAACTCGCAAAAATTGCTACAAAATGTTGATAAAGTATTGACTGAAGCTTCGAAGACTGATGTTCAGAAACTTAATAAGGAAGAATATGCAAAAATAGAAATAATGGAAGAAGGAGGTAGAGTTAATTCAAGAAGAGATATGGCTGAAGAAGAGAAATCTAGAATACCGCTAGTTAATAAGGTAAATCATTTGAATTCAAAATATCTGTATACTATTAGAGAGAAAACTTTTTATCACTTTTTAAGCATATTGCCCGTAAGATGTGTGAGATTTGACATAGAAAAATATGCATATAACTAAAATTTATATATAGTACGTGTTAAAAATACACGGTCCAGTTTACTGATAAGTTTGCAACGCCCTTGAAGCGGCATCCAGTTTCCAGTGCATCCATATAGACCACCTACGTTCGAGTTCGCCGTCTAGTTTGCATGATGATCAGTTGAACCCATGGTGTCACCAATGACGGACGATGACGCGATAGCCATCCTAGGCTTTATTGTTCCGACTAACGTCATGCATACTTAACTGCTCATACACACTATCAAGTTTACATGACGCTCAAGTCGACAGAATCGAAATTCGATTTTTGCTTCAAGTAGACTTGTCATGCACACTGATAGCCCAACACCGTCAAGTTTACCGGACGCCGCTTTAAGCGCGCTGCAAACTTGACGGTAAACAGGATCGTGTATGGCTACCATTAGTGAAATAAAACATTCATTGTTTACGTACATACTGTCAATGTCAATTGTCAAACACATAATAGTCAAAGCTTGGACTAAATGAGTTCTAAACTCTTGTGCGTGTTTGTGTATGTATATTTTTCAAGTCTGTGGGGATTGTATGTGTACAGAATAAAACAAGGAAGATAAAATAAAGCTCCTTAAGACTGTTACTAGATTTTTTTTCTGAAAAAATTACAGTATGCGATTCGGTTGCGTACCCGTTAAGGTATATTTTATACTTGGTAGTGCAATACAGCATTATTTTGCAATAACCAGCCAAATTTGCAGAGAAGATTCAAAATAAGTAACACTTATATGCAAATTTTGTGGAAAAATTAATTCAAAAAATTTCTCAAAAATTATATCCTTTTTATCTTTTAAATTCAAAATGCGTGGTAATACATTATTTTAACTGATTTTACTGCGCATGCACACATTCGTAAGGGTCGATCGGTAGGCAAAAACGTTGTTGCCCATAAATCACATTCAATTTGGGATAATTTCGAATAAATGTAGAAGCCTTATTTACTCGTATTAACGTTATATCATTACATATATATTTAAACTTAAGTTCAAAATTTGGCTACTCTTTGAAAAATAACCCTGTATAGTTGTTTACTCAAGATTCTTTACTGCCACGCACATGGCAAATCAGAACATAAAACTTCAACTAACGATTTCATTGGTGCCGCTGGAGATTGAATACAAGTTACTTGCGTACAGTTATATTTACAGCGAAAGCTTAAATCTGAGGTACTGTGACTTTCAGGAACCTATGTAAGGATCTAATATTTGGAACGTCAAAGGTGCATTTCTTATAACAAAAGGACTAATATTTGCAAACTGTTTCATACTCAGACGCTGCCAGGCAGTGCGGCTTGTTGTTGGGCTTCGCAATTACTTGTTGCGATAGACTCCCTTCATAACTGCGGGGTTGTTTGTAGGTAAGTTACCAGTTAGCGTACCATTTAGTTGTACATATTACACATTATATTAAAAAAACTTAAGTTTTTGTCTTTTAATCCTACCTACAATGGTAGAAGAAGAAATAATAGCGTAGCTCCTATTTTAAGAACGAAAACCACCTTTGCGTCACATCAATATGACAAACAATCAGAACACTTATATAATATATTAAATACACACGTTTGTAAGAAAAAATAATGCACTGGCTTAAGACATTTAATTACGATCAAACTGACTACATCCTATAAACACATTCTCTCTCTCTTTCTCTGTCTCTCTCTTTCCCTCTCTCACTCACACACACATACACACACACAAACACTCACTCTGTTTTTGATTTGTTGAATATACTTATTTAAGGGAAGGCGAGTGCCATCTACCACAAGTATTTTTATGCCCTAAAACAAGTCCTCAAACTTGTACTAATTTAAAAATAATTATGTTGGTAACAATAAGCTTTTTATTTGTAACTAGCTGTTTCTCGCGACTTCGCTCGCGTGTTAGGGTTTTTATGTTTTTGCGCGGAACCCTAATTCTTTTTCTAAAATAAAAGTAGCCTAAGTTACTCCTTGTGAAATCAGCTACCTGCCAGTGAAAGCCCCGTCAAAATCGGTCCAGCCGTTTCGGAGATTACCCGGAACAAACAGACAGACAGACAAAAAATTTAAAAATTGTATTTTAGTTATAAGTACCGTATTTACTTCCATATGCATTTAATAAAAAACTCTAATTTTGACATTACAAACAAACACTTCAATTTTATTTATTTGTATAGATGAGCGACCCGTGCCGGCTTTGCACGGGTGATTTCTTTATCTCTATAAAAGCGCCACCTACCGGGTCCAATTGTGAATCTAAACCATTTCAATTAATCAGACACACTCATCAAAACCGGTCCAACCGTTTAGGAGGAGTTCAGTCACATACACACTGAGAGAACAACTATATATATGAAGATTATTATTTAGTGACAGTCTACTCATAATAATCGACAGGAATGTTTTAAAATCATTTTTTTTGACAGAGATCTGAACCCCAGAAACATCCTGCTGGGCGACAGGGGCCAGATCATACTGACCTACTTCATCTTCCACCCGGGCTTGGACATGGCTCTCTCTAAGACCAAGACAAAAAAGGGGGAATTGAATCTCTATGTAGCGCCGGAATTGTATAGGGATGCCTTTATCGACGCGGAAAGGGACGAGGCTTTGGATAAAGTCTGCGATTTTTGGAGCTATGGTGCTATTTTATATGAACTGCTGTGTGGAGTGGTAAGTACTGTGTTTGAATTTGATTTTGGTATCCATTTTGTAATTATTAGAATCGGAAGTTACTTTGCGGAAATCCATTATATTACATACTAAAATAATGTGTCTAACCTAGTTTGAAGAGCACCTCCTTCCCGCCTTCAATTGCGTGCATTATCCCCGTCACCACTAATCCCAACACCTTGAGTCAATCAACGCAGTCTACTTCACCTGAGGATGCCTCGTGTAGAAGCGACACACGTGTCGTATTATCGACGGTGGTGTGTCTTTCCTAGTGTAGTGGTGTTGGGATTAGTGGTGACGGGGATAATGCACGCAATTACGCAGTAATTCCTTCATGGGGTAATGTATACGCTTTTACAACAAAGTCCCAGAAAATATGCAGACCTATTCTATCAAAAGGTTTAAATTACTTATTAAGCAAAACATGTCTAATAAGGGTTATTATACTACTAAAGAGTACATGACTGATAACAACCCCTGGGAATGAGGTGATCGCTACCATGCTGTTTCTAAATGTTTTCATAATAATTGTATAAAATATTATATTGTAGCTTGTGGTTTTTAAAAAAGAAAGTCCCGCTGGGTTTCTTGCTGGTTCTTCCCAGGACAGATGTTTTTTTTGCGAACCAGTGGTAAAAGTAAAAAATGACTTTCAAAAACCTAGCAAGCTAACAGCATAGCAAAGTGGCGAAGCAATCAGCTTTGTAGCGGTTTCTAACGGTTGCCGTTGAGCAATCAGTTTCAAAATAGGAGGTTCAGATGCCTGGGTGATCAGTAATCGATTGCTGAAAACAGAATTTGAAAATTCGAAACCGTTCTCGAGATAATCGTGGGACAGACAGACAGACGGACAGACATCGTGAAATCAATAAGTGACTTCGCAAGCTTCGCCACTTAATAAGTAATATGTACCATAATCTATATTGAATAAAAATTATTCTATTCTATTCTAAATTGAAGGAATCTCTTCAAACTAGGTAAGACACTTCATTTTATTTTATTACACGGAATCTTAGTTAGTTAATATCTTTAACCTATTTTTTATCCTTTTTTTACTGGTTATAAGCCCAGTGCTTGACCACAATCCCACCAGCGTAAAATAGCAGCTTAACGCTGCTGTGTTTCGTATGGTGAGTGTAGAGAGCCGGAGACCCTTTTTACTGGAAATGAGGCATTCCATATTAGTCCTCACGGGTGACAACGCATCTGCATTTTGATTTGTAATAGAGGATAGATGTAGATGTCTATGGGCCGCAGCAACCACTTACCATCAGGTGGACTGTGTGCTCGTTTGTCACCCTTATCCTATAAAAAAAAACCTGGTGGTAAATGTTGATGTATGTAGCTCTAGGTAGTAAATCACACTGACTTAGCGTAACAAAATAAAAGTCACTCTTGCCTTGAAGATGCCAAGATTGTATTCAGACGGAAGGACAGACGCCGGCAAATTATTCCACTCCTATGCTGTAGGCATTCATAGCGTAGATTTCTTGACTGTCAAAAAAAACTTTGTCAAGGTTAACTTTGAATAAATGACTGATTTTTGGTAATATTGTGTCTATTAAAGTAAAGTAGTAACAGCCTTATACGTCCCACTGCTGGGCTTAACTTTCTCTCATTTCTGATAAAGGTTAGGTAGGTCTCCTATGCGTGTTGTTCTAATTTATTCATTCATTGTAGTCTATCAAAAGTTCATAGCTAAACATTGGCCACTAAGGGAACTATTTGGTATAGCTGCAACGTTTGCTAATTCTTACTAGAAAAATGCTGCTAGTCGTCTTCTGGTTTATATATGCATTTTGATTCTTAATTGAGAATTAATCTAGATGTCTATGTTCCTCAACACCCACTTAACATCAGGTGGACTGTGTGCTCGTTTGTCACACACATTCTATAAAAAAATATTGTTCCTTCCCTAATATTATAAAACGCAAATATTCCCAGCCGCTGTCTTTCTATCATCGGAGCACATTTACGAGCCACACAATACTTCAGTTGCCCGATGGCTTGCCATTGGAGATCCAGTCTATACTTACTCAGGTATGCACAAAAATATTAATAATAAATAATTATAACTTTTAACAAAAAGTAAAAACCGACTTCAAATTGCTAAAAAAGAAGTTATTTATTTGCTACCCTTAGGGTGGAATTTTTTCTCCATATTTATATGGGACCACCCTTGAAGTATACCCTATTTAATAAAAAAAAGATCCATTAAAATCGGTTCTCAATCTGCGAAGATATCATATGAAAATTCCTTAAACAATAGTTCAATATGAAACTTTTTCCACTATTTTCTTACCTTGGGATGTTTTTTTTTTAATTTATTTATGTACACACAACAATATACAGAAACAGTCTTATAGTGAGTTTGTTTGTTTTTTTTTCTTCAAAATTTAATGGGACTTGACTTGAGGTAAAGCCTATTTAATAAAAAAAAGAATCATTAAATTCGGTTCATAATCTGCAAATATATCGTGTAACATACATACAAAAAAAAAGAACATATACTCGAATTGAGAACCTCCTTTTAATGAAGTTGGTTAAAAATCATGTATAATTTAAAATAATACCAAATTTTAAACAACATTCTCTTATATTATTGTTGCGTGCCACTATTAATGTCTTGTACATGGCAACACTAGTTACACTAGCGTCCTCTAGTGTCGAGTAAAAGAAAGTGTGGCGCGCCACTATTAATGTCTTGTACATGGCAACACTAGTTACGCTAGCGCCCTCTAGTGTCGAGTAGCAGAACTAGGAGAGGCGAGATCCTTCCAGAACATTATTATTTTTATAATGACAGGATGATTGATTCCGTTACTTAAATAACGCAGTGGAATCAGTCGATACTTAGGGTTAGGACATCAACAAATTGCATTTTCTTCGTCTTCTTTATTATCAGCTCCTAAAAGTCTAATGCTGGACATGGGTCCCGAGGTATTTGCCATCTTTGCCATTATTGGCAGGCGGGTTGGCAAGCGCAGTATTTTATAATTTTAACCTGTTATCAGGAAGATGCTGCTGCCCATCTCTTGTTTCAGTTTTCTTTTGTCGCCTCTTACGACACCCACGGGATATTCTTACACCGCCACTACACGGTTAATAAATTATAGTACCGTGAAATAGCATGTAAAAAATATTCACTATATTATTTTAGTATATTATATATACTACTAACGACTACTAGCGATCTGCCCCGTCTTCGCACGGGTGATTTCTGAATTTCGAAAACAGCGCCACCTACCGGATCCAATTGTGAATCTAAACCATTCTGAAATCAACTTAATCACACATACGAAATTTCATCAAAATCGGTCCAGCCGTTTAGGAGGAGTTTAGTCACATACACACGGACAAAATAGGGTTATTTTCTAAAGAGTAGCCAAATTTTAAACTTGAGTTCAAATGTATAAATAATGATATGTCCTTATAGCAGTTTTTGAAAATACGAGTAAATAAGGCTTCTAATTTTATTTGAAACTATCCCAAATTGAATGTGACTTATGAGCAACATGTGCAACAACGCGCGCTTCTCTGTGTTTCAAAAAACCAGCGTAAAATAGCAGCTTAACGCTGCTGTGTTTCGTATGGTGAGTGTAGAGAACCGGAGGCCCTTTTTACTGGAAGCCAGGCATTCTACCTTAGCCCTCACGGGCGACAACGCATTTGCATTTTTATTTGTAATCGAGGATAGATGTAGATGTCTATGGGCCACAGCAACCACTTACCATCAGGTGGACTGTGTGCTCGTTTGTCACCCTATTTCTATAAAAAAAAAACACAACGTTTTTGCCGATCGAGCGACCCTCACGAATGTGTGCGCGCGTAGTAAAATATTTAGTCTAGTCTAGTCTTAGATATTTATGAATAACAACCAGTTCAAATAATGCATTACCACGCATTTTGAATTCAAAAGATGAAAAGGACAGAACGTTTGATATTTTTTTAATAATTTTTTCTTCACCAGGCAAATGTGAAGAAAAAATAATTAAAAAAATCTTAATATTACTTATTCTGTACCTTCTCTGCAAATTTGGCCGGCTGATAATGAATATTTTTACGCCGCTATTTTATGGTACCATAATTACATATTATATTAATAGTTGTATATAGCATGTATGTATATATACATAGCCTTAAGTACAAATATTTATTACGAAATCTTATTTTCAGCTGTTAACCTACGATCCCTCACAGAGACTGGGCGGGGGCAAAGAAGGTGTTGAAGAAATTAAACAGCACCCATACTTCAATAACATTAACTGGTCCCAGGTCTATAAAACCTGGACTGTGCCACGATGAGAAAAAGCATGCAAGTGTCCTTGGGTATAGTCTACATCATACTGATGAAATAAAAGTTTGTCCCTTTTTAGATGAACTCTTGGTATAAAATACTAGACTTCGAATCAAGAATTGGTCCAAAAGGGAATCCAGAATTGTTTGTAAGTCTTTACAGGGCAAATAGGATCTATGAAGCTTTGTCACTTCTTCAAATAAAACTAAAATGAGTGTTTTAAATTTAAAAAAGAAATGTCTCGATAATTCTATATTAACATTGTCTCATCTACAAAAATTTAAAAAGAAAGTTACACGAGTCTCATTAACTGTAGGACGTCACTTTTTATTTATTACCAATAGATGTCGCCCTTACAAATACATATAATTTTGAAATACATTAAAAGTATTAATAAGTACACTTTTATTATAAAGTAAGTATTTTGAGTTAAGATTGAAGATTAGTTTAAGATTTCGACCAAAATTGCATCTTTTTGTCAAATTCAGAAGGAAATCAATGAAATGCGTATGCAAATGAATATACAACACGAAGTTGTTACAACATTCCTTACACATATTTTATAAGTAACTGATTTTGTGTCTATTATATTAATATATTACGGATTGTGTGTTTTAAATAAAACCAATAATAAATTAAATGTAAATTGACTTCAATAAAATAATAACTAGAGAAAAATAGGTGACACAATTTATTTTAAAGCCTTAAATAATTAAAAGAAAATCTATTTTTCTTTATTTACTTGCACTTGTGGCTACAAGGCGTTTAGCCAAAAGTAAAAAATTATAAAAAAAAAATCTTCCGCATCTATTTACAGAGATCAACACCGGTTATAATTAGATAGAATACAAGTTTGTAGTTACTAAGCATTTTTATATAAAACATGTTTAGCGTTTATTCCACCAAGTTAGCTGGTGTTACGTCTTATCAGTATTGAGTACACCTTGCCGAATTAATTAGAAGGTACTATTTGTAGTGATGTGTGAGTCCGAAGAGCTTAGTACTTTTAGTCGTAGTATAGTTATAGTTCCTATGCACTGCTCTTTATTGATATCATTTTTATTTTCTTCTTTAGTTTGTAAGAATGTAATTTTTTTCTTTATCCACGTTTTTTCACGTGGTAGTGCCACGCTGCAGCTATATTATGGTTGTAGCACGAATGGTTCGACCGGGGAAGGGCTATGCTCTCACAGAATACTAACCAATAGCAGTGTTTTCGTGTGGGGAGTTTACGGAGACCCTTTTAACTGGATAATGCATCTATATTTTGTTTTTTTAATCGAGGATCGATGTAGATGTCTAAGGGCCACATCACCCACTTACCAACAGATGAGCTAAATAAAATTTGAGCGTCATGTTGTTACTGTTGATGGAATTAAACAACATGAATATTATTGGAAGCTATGAACTGTACCGGTCGTGTACGCGTCAACACAGAGGCACTTACTCTTTTTAATTAACCCATGCCCGATATAAAACTTTAGATTTGCGTCAAGATCTGAGGTAGACTAAGACGTTATATCAGAGACATGGGCAATGACCATAACTAAAAACTAATAATTTGTAACATACATACATACATACATAAACAGTCACGCCTGTCACCCAGAGTGGTAGGCGGAGACTACGGACTTCCATTTGGCACGATCCTGACACCCCTCTCTCGTTTCCTCCACATCCATATACCTACGCATACACGCTCGTCGGTTTAAGGTACTCTTAATTTGGCCCATTTTCAATATATCGCCAATTTGGTCGATTAACTTTCGCCTAGGGCGTCCCTTCCCGACTCTACCGTTCACTTCGACGACACATTTGTAAATATACAAATTATGCTCTCGATAATGAAAGACATATGAAAACATCATTACCCACAATGATATTTTATATATCAGCATTCCAATACTTAATCCTATGGAGATTTTTTGTTTTCAGTTCATCGCATCATATTTATTGTTTTGTTGACAATTTGTATATTTTTTATAACGTGACACAAGCTTCGCCATTAAACAGGACACTAAGCGAGATTCGACTGAAGTAATGGATAGATTTTGTCTTGTACCTATATAAAGTACATATTTATTGATAACGTGACACGTGTTTCGCCCCAAAACAAGGCACTTTTAAAATATCTTGCCATCAGTTCACTACGATCTAAATTATTTTATGCAATTGTAAACCATTTTATAACCTGTTTGTCTTTTTTATAACATGTTCGTTTTTTTTTATAACCCTGACACATGTGTCGCCCCAAAACGAGGCTTTTTTAAAATCATTTCTCAATCAATTCATTGCGATTTAATTATTTTTTATAACTGTAAACTGATCTACAATCCGCTCGATAGTGAAAAGGAGCATCGTAAGTAAACCAGCATGTCTGAGAAACAAATACGGAAATATAAGAAAGCGTCATTTTCGAAAATTCCAAATTTTGATCACAATCACTCACAGCGTTACTCGCTGTTGTGGTGCTAGTTCTAAGAGGGGTGTGATACGTGGGTAAACGGCAAAAACTTGTTACATAACGGACTAAGTATGGTCCATTTTCCAAAAATTTTATACAGATTAGATTTTCTTTTTGGAACATCCAAATTATGTTTATAAGTATATTTATTTATTTAAGTTATATTTTGTCTCTCATATTTCGGGTGTATTTGCTCTTTTATGTATAAAGTGAATCTAGTCCGCATTTCCATGGAAATTTTTTGTTTTATCTTAAGGAGTACAAACTGCATTTATATTTTACAACAATTAATAAGATGGTGTTGCAAAAAAAAGTAAATATCCATAAAATAAGTTTAGAAGATTTTACTGTACAATTATTTCGGAATTGAAGAAAATTAACGTGTATATCAATATAGAGTCCCTGTGTACATTTATATTTACTAAATATTAACAACTGCAATTTGCCTTTCATAAGTTTAAAAATTTGAATTTGTCAAAAGTGACAACCCTGAACAATTTAATTTAAACGAGTTTTATTGTATAAAAGATTATTATATATTATATTAATATTTTTGTTTAATAAAATAATAATAATATATTAATATATATTGCTTTATCTTAATTACTTCAACATTAATTGTGATTTAAACGCGAGTATTTTGGTGTGCATTCTTAATATATAAGTTTAATTTAAGACTTGTTTAGACCGGAGGCTTGTAAGTTGTAAGGTTAAATTATTAATTTTGGCAGAATTTGTAAGATAATAAAATATATTAGAGTCGGAATGTTGTGTGTTTTATTGAAATAGAACAATTAAAATTTTAAGTGCTGATTTACCTCGTGCTCGCTGGGGAACGAAAACATCTTGAGGAAACATGAATGTCTTATACATGCATGCTTATACATATTTATTTCATGTAACGGCACCAATTAAAATAAATAGTGGGACGAAGGCAGACACTTTTTTTATAGAGTAATGACAAACGAACACACAGTCCACCTGATGGTAAGTAGATGCTGTGGCACGAAGACATTTATATCTATCCTTGATCACGTATCAAAATGCAGATGCATCGTCACCCGTGAGGACTAAGATGCAATGCCTCGTTTCCAGTAAAAAGCGTCTCCGGTTCACTACATTCACCATACGAAATCCGTTACTTTACGCTGATATTCTGTGAGAGCGTGATCCTTCCCCGATCGAGCTTACCCGTTCGTGCTACAACTATACCAGTAATATAGCTGCAGTATGGCTCTACCACGTAAAGAGAAAGACTGGCCGTGAGAAGGCATCCTTAACAAATCTTCGTACAACTCGTGTAGCACCCACCACAACGTCCAACACCGTAAGGTTCGCAACACATTTTTGGCTGAGTACAAAGCCCTAATTAAATAGAAAATCTGCATAATGGATATGGAGATGATAATGGATATTTTAGGGTATACGAGTATGGTATTTTTTGCTCTTTTTATGTACATACGTATCCCGCAAGACATTTAAATGTACTGAAGTGATTTACTGTCTGTGAAACTAAAAACACAAATAGAAAACATGTGAACATAGATAATATACTATATAGGGTACATGTGAAGGCCTCTTAAAAATGAGAGGACACCTGTACCCAACCGTGGGCCGTATAGCCTGTAACTTGTTATCTAAAAGCAAGTTTCGATTCATAAAAAAATATTGTGGAAATCTGATGGTCAATTGACCATCTGCATCATCATCAATCATATCAAAAATCAGGGAGTTCTGTGCTCAGCAGAGACGAATATGTTGCTATGTTAATATATCTAATCGAGTTGGATGATTCGTTAATTATGTATAACATGGAAAAAATATTTCGAATCCGTCATTCTTGAACAAGGCGTTAAATTTAAAAGATAAATAGTGGATTCCTCGTTGACAAATTACAACGCGCTAAGCTTAAGTTACTTAGAGATAAATTAATATTTAGTTACAATTTTATTAATTACATACATATTAATTAGTATTATAATTAATGGCTCTTACTAAATACTTTTTTTTTAAACGTTACCCCCACACTAGGATTTTCTCCTATGTCGTGGGGGCAGTTTACAAACATATATTGCACAAGGACAAACATCCAGACCCGGAACAATTATTTGTAGGCCATACAAATACTTGTTCCGTGCGGGATTCGAGCCACTGCGCCACGGAGCCGTCTACTAGTACTACTAGGTAACTATTTTTGTTTTCTCTTTATTCTCTTTTACCGCTATCATACGGCGAGTCCGTCAATTTTTTACCCCATGAATATGATAAGGAATAATTAGTATTTTAAGAGGAAATACGGGCCCAGATACTTTTATAAACTAGGTATTCTGCGAGCGCTCCGCGTTTTTTTTTTTTGCGCTCAGAAGCAATTTGAAAGGGCTACCCCGTTACGCGAAGAGGTGGTAAATGCTTTATGCATACCACGACAGCCGGTCTGTCGTGGTTATGTGGGACTCACTGTGTCTAACTATCCTAACCCCTAAGTGTTACCCACTAAAAACCACCTTTGGGGGACCGATAAGGATAACTGCTGATCCGACTGAA